CTGACCATCTGACTGAATCTGGTTCAAACCATGTTAAATTTGAAAGATAATTTACCTCTTTTAAAAACAGTCTTATTTCTTTTCTTAAAGCTAATGTAAACAACATAAAACCAACCAAATGAAAATTTCAATCTTTAATTGTTTGCATTTCTGAAACAAGATGTTTAACACCAAAGTTGTAATCTTCCCAAAAACAGACTAAACAGAGAGTTTGCGGAGTAAAATTAAAATAAAAAACTGAATTAGAATGAAGGAATAAATGTCACTGAAACTAATGAACAATTTAGTCAAAATATTCTTGCCATGGTAGCTTTTCTGCAATGTCGAACAGGCCATTAGTGTCATTAGGGACTACAGGTGGAAAAATATATCTGATTATAATGTGTTGAAAAGCATCTTCTGGTTCTTATCAGATATGGATTTTGTGCGCTTGTACACTGTCCCAATCAAATAAACTACAAATAATAATATGTATATATGATCAACTAAATTAGTTGTGTACTATCAAATTAAACTACCAGTTTATACTTCAGAGCAGGGGCGTAGATTACGCGGGGGACGTGTCCACCCCCCACTTTTAATATCACGTAAATTCGTCCCCCGCACTTTTTCGGGCAAGTGTGTTCGCATAGAGGTTTTCAAGAACCGGTGTGAATAAATATAGATTTAAATTCAAAGAGACAGGATAGTCTGTGCATGATCTGATGTTTTATTCGGACCCAGAATAAGGCGAGATGAACATCGCGGAGCGCTAAACATTCCGTGTAGTGTGTGTTTCATTCATACTCGAAGCCGGAGGGAGCTCTCGCGCAGGAAGTCGTATGAGATCATTCCTAATATGGACAAAAGCTTCCAGCTATCGCTGTATGAAAACAGTCGTTTTCAGATAAACAGAAACGTTTGGAAACATGAAGACTTTAAACATACGAATGCGACAGTATGGTTTATTCGTGTTTTTTAAGTCATCTCCAGGTAATAAATAAAGTATATGAACAATGCAGTGCTAGCTGACATAGCATTTATTACAGTATTGAAACTATTCTGCCTTATTATGTGATAAAAAAAAAGTGTTTGTAGTATATAAGCAAATCATTATTACTGGTTACTCTCCAGCAGTTATCGGATTTCTAAGCCAATTAAAAGCTAGAAATGAGAGAAAAATTAAAGTTGCCTATACACCAGTCAAAAGTTTTTTAAAGACGTGTCTTCTGTTCACCAAGCAGGAAACAAAGTGTAAGGAAAACAAACATGCCGCTAACAGTTAGATGGGAAAAAATTATAAGAATGGTGAAACCACGGTAAACAAATTAAAATAGTGTGTTTCAAAGAACGAACAAAATTATGGAAACATATAAAACTGTTCTGGTTTTATAGTGTAACACAATGAAAAACTTTGTGGTTTGAACAATGGTGTGACGAGGCCTAGAACAGTATGCGCGGATCAAGTCAAGATATCTACCAATTTTAGGTATACTTGCCAGGGATCAATCTGGTGTATGATAGAGTTAGAACAAGCATTTGTGTATGTGTTGTCAGGTTTTATTTTATTTACTTATGGTCACTATAAAGTTTTGCATGTTTATATTCATTCTGTTTACTGAATTTGTCTTAGTGACTCAATGCAATATTTTATTAAAAGACAACGCAGAGAATTGTTTGAGTAACAAACTAATCTCTGTGACATTTACTGTCAAGTTTTCACTGCTTTCAGATACCCAACTACTCGGGACCTGTAACTCTATCATAATTATTTAAAAATGCATATAAGCTTCATGCCTGACACCTTTGTAACTGACTAAAAACTAAAGCTAAACAAACATTTACAATTGTGAAAAAATAAGAGATGGTAAACAAATGTGTTATCCTGCTGATGAGGGACAAACACTGCTTACCACATGTTTTCTTAAAGAGGAACAGATTATTAAGACAAACATGACAACACTCTGTTGCAGTTGTACCTGTTTCCTGGATCAATATACTATTTGAAGAGAACTGAACTGATCTGGATGATGACATCACTGAATCAATGATGAACCGACCTTAACTGGAAAAAAAGACTGTTTTCTATTGTCTTTTGCATTATCAGCACACATTTAGCTGTTTAACACTGTAAAGCTGCTTTGACAATCTGTATTGTATAAAGTGCTATATAAATAAAGGTGACTTGACTCGCTACATCGTAAGAGGAATGGCATCTACTCTAATATAAGTCTCTTTCATTCTTATTCCGAGGACACCATAGCCATACAGATCCAGTCCATATCCAGACCAGATGGTGGATCAGCACCTAGAGATGACCTCTACAGCCCTGAATGTCAGCGGAGACCATGTCAACTAGATGCACCCCAGAGACAGATGCCCTGCAAAGACCTCGTCACCTCAATGACCATCAGCAAAAGACCATGGGAACCAGACAAGTCCTCTGCACAATCTGACTTGTGTTGCAGCCTGGAATTAAACCACGTCATGCTGGTGACTGATTGCACAGACACTATTGGAAGAGCGCTGAACTGAATGATGACATCACTGAATCATCAATGCTCTGACTTTAGCTGAAAAATGACTCTTTTTTTTCTATTGGTCTCTTGCATTATTGACAAACTATTTTCCTGTTTGACCCTGTAAAGCTGCTATACTGACACAACCAGTATTGTATAAAGCGCTATACAAATAAAGGTGACTTGACTTGAAGCTCAAGAAGGGACTTCCTCCACTAGCCTCGCCACGCCACCCCAGAAACAGTGGGACCCGAACCACAAGATGTAGATGATTGGCTCCATTCCCCCATAAAAAGAGCCAGACAGGAGCGGCGCTTCCGCACTATGAAGCGATCATAGTGAGGGCATGCAAATGTTCTCCACTCCCAAACAGATAACACACAAAGCATGTTTGTCATCTCCTGTATTATAACAGAATCATACACTTTCTGAAACTCATTTTCTTTCGTAACAGTGGATTCACACATGCACACACTAACAAAGCAGCTTCCTGAAGATAAGCTGATGATTTTATGTGGGCGCCCATAGTATGCTGGCATGCCAGTGACATCATTTGACTGCCGTAGCTTTCAAGATTCCGTGAAAGGGAACTGTATTCTGTAAAGTACTGTACCGTACAAATAAAGACTTGACTTGATGAGAAGAATATTAGAATAACTTGAAACACAGGAGACGAAGGGTAACCAGAGAAGTCACCCAGGTGAAAAGACGTAGTATTAAATGTATTAAAAATATACATGAAATTAAAGTAGTATGTTTATAATACATTTGTATTCCCAACATGCTTATTTGAAGTGCAATAAAAATATATTGAATTGCATTTTAATATATTTCTAAAAAGTATACTAGAAGTACTTTGGTAATAAATATATGCTTAGTTACACTTTTAAGGAATATGCTAAACACAAGCACACTATTAGTATATTTCTAAAAAGTATAGTAGAAAATACTATGTTAATAAATATATTTTTAGTTACACTTTTAAGGGATATACTAAACACAAGCATACTTTTAGTGACTTTTTAGTGTATTTACAGAAAACATACTTATGCTACCCTTACTTAAATATATATTTTTTGTCTACTTTGTGTAAGAACACAACAAAGTTATATTAGTGAACTTTATGAATATTTGTAATGTACACAACAATATATAATACATTAAATTTTTCTAGATATCAAAGTGTGTACGTGTGTGTATATACTGAAAAAAGCAGCTTTATATACTAGTAGTGTAATGCTAATGCATTTCCAATGAGCTGAAATACAATTGAAATGTACTTGAAGTACATTAAAACAATGCTTCAAATAGACTCTAATTGTAGTTCATGAAATATTAAAAGGACATTTTAAATGTATTTTAAAAAATACACTTAAATTGCACTAAATATACTTAAAATGGTTCCAATTTAACACAATTTCAATATATTAAATATATTACAAATAGATTCAAATGTCAACAATTCTGTGTTTTTCTGTCAATATGGGGTGCTGTGTGTACATTAATGAGGAAAAAAAATTAACAAATTATTTTAGCAAATGGCTGCAATATAACAGAGTGAAAAATATTCTGAATACTTTCCGTACCCACTGTAAATCCAGAAATAGTAACTGGAGTGGTCTGAAGAAGTGAAGTGAAGTGACATGTGGCCAAGTATGGTGACCCATACTCGGAATTAGTGCTCTGCATTTACCCATCCAAACTGCACACACACACCCGGAGCAGTGGGCAGCCATTTATGCTGCGGCGCCCGGGGAGCAGTTGGGGGTTCGGTGCCTTGATCTTGTCGTGGTATTGAAGGTGGGAGAGAGCGCTGTACATTCACTCCCCCCACCTACAATCCCTGCCGGTACGAGACTCGAACCCACCCCTTTGGGTTATGAGTCCAACTCTCTAACCATTAGGCCACGACTTCCCCCTGTGGAGAGGAAGAGCGCGTGACAATGTATTAATGAAAAGATTACGTTTTAGTAATGGGATGGATGTTTAACTGAAACGATGAATGTTTACAGTATGCACGTTTGTCATCTTAGGAGACAATTCATGTTACATATTTATGTTTCGAGGTAGATACGTTTTTTTTTTTTTTTTAAACAGTACATTTTAAGTAATTTAGCTAGAACTATAAGACTGATGTTAAACACAGGACACACCTAAAAAAAAAATTCTCTGAAATGTTATTTTTAATGATCAAAAGGCACAGAATTGTTGAAATTACATCTCACATTAGGTTTTTGCCAAGTACGATTGCTCTTTGAAGGAATTTGACTTAGCAAACAGACATTAAGAAATACAGGAAGCGAAAGACAGACAGAAGCAGAACGAAACTGTAAGGGTGACCCAAAGTAATCAAACCAGGTTACAAAATCTTGAATCGGCCACCAATACATTTCTACAAGTTTATTTCAGTTGTTACAATAAGTGATGTGTTTACAGATAACTAATTCTAAATGTACAAAGGAAGAACACAACAAAGAATAACTGAAACAGCTTTTTAATTGTTTTATTTATTTTTTGTCTCGAGATCCCTGGATTCATTGCTTCACAGACAGAACAGATACAAACACTGCCTTATAGTATGTTTCTAATATATGTCACATCAGGTGTATATACACATATTCTTATGATATATACTCTTCCTTATCAGTAAAGGTAAAACCTAAAAACAATATAAAATAAGGCAATATCAGCAACTCTCTTATATAGCCTGAAATTAAAACAGCTATATGTGAGTCAGAATTACAGAGATTGCATGTGGAAAGATGCAGATACATTTCATATCAACAAAAATATTTTCTTCATAGATAACACATCATGAAATACATGGGAGCGCAACAAAAGACATAAAAAAACAGTATTAACACGTAAAAATACTATTCCCAACACAGACCTGATTTCGTTAAGCAGAGGTTAGATTGGTGATGTGTCTCCAGTTTCAATGAGCTCATCTAAACTCAACAAAATCTGGGTTAGAGACGGTTTTTATAAAACTTCTTGCATAAAAATATTACAAAAGCTCCAAATGTTCTAGTTAAAAGTAAAGTTAGAATGGATATGGTACAATTCATCTCCAATGAAAAAGGGGAAAAGAGTCAACAGGGGATGAGGAAGACACCAGACGAAGTCTCCCCCAAAGTACCAGTATAAATAATTGTATATGATTTGGTTTGTGTTTATTCAGCTGGTTCTCCTGTATCTCCTTTAGTTTTGGGTTCCTGCCACCATTCAGCAAGGAAAGACTCCTCGTAGTCCCCGATTCCCTCAAACTCTTCATCAGGAGTACTTGACAGAGCTGATGCTGCTTCCTCTGAACTTACAGTATCCTGTTAACAAACACACAGTTAATAACCACATGATAATATTATCAGTCTAATTCATAGGACAATAGGACACACTCAAAAACATATCTGCCTATTGACCATTTTAACAGCTATTTGCCGGTTTAAGGAAGTGATGTCTTTGATCCTTGGACATTTCCGGTTAGTTGTCCCACCCATTCAAACCATAAACAGTGATATTGCAGTAAGTTATTTAATCATGCAATTAAAAAGTCAGAATTAAATTTAGGACCATGTTATTCAGTGGTTGGATGCTCTCTCAGGCCCTAAACTAATCTGCTTTTAGAAATTTAAAGTGTTTAAATTTCCAAAAAAACAGAACACAATACAGGTATGGCGTCTAGTCAACTGTAGGATATGTAGCACACCTTTTATCTCTGGTATGTAAACAACATTTTTGCCTTTGAATTTGTATTTCTTTACGTTCACTTTTAAGTATGATAAAACATCATTTGACCTAGCATTGTGGCTCCATCATTGTTTTGCATGTAGCTAGCTAGTGTTTTGATATGTTTGCATTGAAAAAAAAACAACTTGTTTTTACTTCCATTTCTTTTCTAAATGTTATGTGGGCTATAATTAACTGTATGTGGGAAGTACCACATATGGCAGAAGTCCTTGTGGTGGGCTCTACCTGGGAAGAGACTCGCACCCACAATGACTGGCAGATGAGCAGGGCTCTGCCCAGGGGAAGACACAAAGTTACTGACAGGGAGCATTTACAGTGGAAACACATCATATGGGATTACCAAAAGGGAATCACCACATATGAAGCACTTAACCCAACTAGACAGGCTCACCTGAAAAGGGGCATACCATGAATTATGGGCCTGGTAGCGAGATTCCCCTGTCGAATTCAGCTACCGAGGAGTGCTGGAAAGAGTAGTATAGCATCCAATGTTCACCAGAAATAGGGTACTCTCATGGATAGAAAAGTGCACATTACGTCCTCGCAGAGGGCACTGTGTGCAAGCACTACACCAAGCTAGTTTACCTGAAGCTTACCTGTTCGTACCCAATAACACTCGGGACAAAATCAGCTCAACCTGGAGATTGTTAAAGCTGGCAAAGATTTCCTGGTTGGCATCAGTCCAATATTCCTTTCCAGTGACAAAACAATCACCAAATCATCAAGATTGATCTTTGATCTTTTAGAAGAGGGAGACATTGTCTGGGTACAGAGGGTTCCGTTTCCGTGAATATTTTGCTATTAAATGTGCCCAGCTTCTCATACCAGCTTCAACCCTTGGAAAGGCACATCATCCAAGATGGGAAGTGTCAACCCAACTTCTTCCACTTTCAAACTCATGATAAGTTACCTGGTTTGAGGTAAAAGCCTTCTCTAGCTAGTTGTTCATTGTTCTTACCCCAAGCTATGGCTGGTGCATTTTTGCTGGATGTGCAGCCCATGATTTTTAATATCATGCAAACTTGACTTGTCTTGCATTTTAACACGTCGTTAAAGTGTGACCACTTCATTCCAGCCACACGCAGGGCTCAGATGTCATAGATTAGGTGAAGTGTGTGAAAGTGGGTTTGAATGCTCCATCTAAGCACAAACATTTCGAAATGTATAATTGCATATACCATAGGGAATGATGGCGCAAACAATTCGTTTAATTCCTCATTCGTTAATTATTCGTTAATAACCTCATTGGTCACCTTAACTCCTTTGATTAGTTGGGGTCTGAATAGGGTTGGGGATCGGATACTTGTTTCCTATCGATTCCTATGCGCTTTTTTTTTCTTCATCTGTGAGGACCGGACCTAGCGATCTGCCAGGACCTTGCTCGCTAATCTAAGCGCTCCAAAGTTTGGCAACATTTACTAACAAAGTAACATTAGAAGCCAAAAAAGCTAATCTGTGATAGCTAAACATGTTGCAAAAGAGGTGTCACCACCAACATGGCAAAACACTTTAATTTAATAGATCATTAAAAATCGCAAACACGATTCAAACACCAACGTGATTCTATTCCTAAATTACAATGATTCGTCTGTTTCATTCCTCAAACTTTCATGTGTGCGATCAATGCTGTGATCACTTGGTTCATCCGTGCAGCATACGATCACATCAGAGTGATTTGAACATTTAAATCTGCGTTCACACTGCCATTGACCTAAAGAGAGCAGCTGTCTGTCACGAATGAAATGGCTTCAGTCTTTTCAGCCACACAGTATCATTATTTCTGTTACAAACATTCAAATCACAGAAGTACTGGGATAAAAGTTTATAGTTCAGATATAAACTGTGTGTATGATGTGTATGGTAGCGATTAAAATAGAATAAATCACCTTTTGAAAATAATTTGATGCTTCAATTGAAGATTATCGATTACATTGTTACGCCAGTAGGTGACGAAAAGGGGCTGTTAAAATGTATTCGTCTTTGAATCATAGACGAGATTCGTTCAAGAACGCTGATTCATCCAGTAATGAAACAAGTACATCTTCAGTGGATCATTTAATCATTAATTCATAAATTACATGTGATTTTGTTTAGTTGTCTTAATGTTTTTTCTTCAGAATCATGAGAGAACCACAACTTCCATTGGAAGAAAAAAAAGAAGAAAAAAAAGAAAGAAATTTATCCAGAATAAAGCAGTTCTATTTTGCACACAGCTCTTAAAGAGTCCAGTTTTTATGTAGCCTGTTGATTTTTTTTCATGGTATTCAGCTGCAACTAAATGGTTTGCAAAAAAGAGACACAGGATAAATGTTTAATATCATTATTTAATCACATTGGAATCGAAACTGGGAATCGAAAACAATCGGAATTGATAAGCAGAATCGGAATTGATAAAATTCAAACGATACCCAACACTAGGTCTGAAAGACACTTAACTTTCAGTTCATGTATATGACCGCACTGACTGACACCATCGGATGAGAACAAAACTTGAACTGAATTAGGCTGGATTACGGCACTATCGTCTTCTGTAGAGCTGCTTTACAGCTGAATCACATCTTGCAACATTGACGTTGGAGTTGTAAGATTTGAAGAACCTCAGACACTTTGATCTTCTGAGATACGGACAATACACACAGTGCATTAACATAGAGGCATCCGTTTTGACATCTCACTGAGAGAAGATGTGGGAAAAACTCCTCACCCATCCTTTTCATCCACTTCCTTCCCCTCACTCAGCTCACTCAGAATGGTCAAGAACATAATATAATGTTCTACATGAAAGCAAGTGATATTCACAGTCATGTTTGGTATCATTTGAAATGTCTCAAGTCGACTGGTACAATGGCCTCAATCTTACAAGGAGTAGACTAAAAGTTAATACAGATCCTAAGAGTTTAGAGATATTTTGCTCACTGTAGAGGGTGTGTCATCTGCCAGTGTCTTTCATGCAAATTGCCATCTGTCCCCAAAAGGTGTAAACTCTACTTGATTAATGCAAATTCCATTTGTTAGTTTCTGTCTCCATTTGGGGGATGTCTGTCTTTGTCTTAGCACTTAAGTGAATGTTGCAAGATGATCGGGGCGCTTCTGTAGCCAGATGACTCTATACTATGTATTTTCCTGAAGTCAGGTATGCATCTTTTACTCTTAGAATTATCTGTGAGAATGTGATGTCTTGTATTGATTTGATATCTCTGAATTGACTATGCAACAGGCATATTTAACATATTTACCTGACTGATAATAAATTGTTACATTTGATTTTATTCTGATTTACTCTGAAATTATTTTCTCAAGTAGATTAAATGAAGGCATATGTTTCCGCAAATCTGCGTCCAGGGTTAAGTACATACTAGATCTCAGGTTAGACAGAGCATGGGGCACATCAGGTGAGATACTAGATTTCTGACTAACTGCTTGACTTTAAGTTGTTATGCAGCTGGATTAACTATGGGGGGCTAGACAAAATACTACTGGAGTAATGGATGCAATTAGGAGTCAGTGGTTAACATTTATTTACAACACTGTCCCAGAACAGTACAACCCAAGTGTTCGAGTGTGTGCAGCACATTTTACGGAGGAAAGTTTCCTGAACCTGGGAGAGTAAAAGGCAGGCTGTGCAGAAAGGCTGTTTTTAAAAAATGGGGCAATTTCAACTTTGCTGGGACAATCTGGCACTTCTGAATCAGAGCCCGTATGTTTTATAATTTGCAATTGACTGTTCAAATGCGGAGTTTGGTGAAGTGTAGAGTAATGCATATTGTTTGTCATTCTTGTTCTGCTTCACACTGGACAGTCAAGTAGAGCTGAAGCAGAACATGCCCGTTGTTATAGTAAACTGACAACATTGTTAACTGTTCTTATAATTGCTTTGGAAGCTAAAGCTCACGATTATGATAAGGGTCATTACATTTCCGACACATGCTTGAGATGTTCTACAAATCACAATGCACTGGGTCAGTTGGCCAATCAGAACGCACTGCGCTTTTCGAAGGAGGGGCTTTGTAGAAATAGACGCATTTTAGAAAGGATCTGCAATAATGAACAGTACGTGAAAAATAATACCTTTTTTGAACATTAAAGCATGCTAACATATTCGATTACACCCACACAAAATAATGAGCTTTGAAAATAGCATCATATGACCCCTTTAAAGAATGGTAAGCATGAGGTGGCCTATTAAATAGAAGCCATAACCTCCAACTAATGATCAGACTGGAGAGTTTGTGATCGTGAGATCCGCGTACACCGGCTGGCACAAGAACCTCTGAGTGACATAGATTCCTAATGAACGAGTAAAATATAAAGTAAAGAATTAAATAGAATTCTCAAATGTCAGAAGAATAATAATTAGATATGGATAAACAACCAATTTCCATTTCAACTTAAATTCGAGCCACAATTAGAAAAGGTTGTAGCACCAAACACTCGTCCAAAACTTAAATTCGAGGTCATAATAAAATGGAGGCAGATAAGAGTTTAATAGAAACTAAATTACTTTGTGCACCGAAAAGACTGAACACACAGGAAACCTTCAGCCACCATTGGATACCTTCATTGGGCTAATTGGCTG